ATCATACTGCATGATTAGGTCATCCTGGGGTCATGAAAGGCACTATATAAATAAGTGCAAGTCTCTGCCGGACTTTCTAGCTGTTTTTCTGTCCCTGCACAGCTGAAGACGGGTAGTAATCCTGAGCTACAAAAGGTGGACTACTGCAAACTGCTAACACTTCCCAGAGAGGTCTTTTTTGGTTGGCATGGACTGCTATTTCAGTATTCTCACTTAGAGCCTCAAAAAGGTGGTTAGAGCAAGAAACCAGAATGAAATACCCGTGATATTTCAGTTATAGGTCCAATTATGACACTATTTCTCCTCCCGTGTCATCATTAACTTTATGGGATAACACATAAGGAATGATCACTTGACGGAGTGATAAACAGGATTATCGTGATCTGTGGAGCTATATCCCAGTAAAGAGGCCTCAAGAAGAGTGGGAGGAAAAAGTGAAGGGAAGCAGTCTTTTACAGAACTGGAAATGTTAACTTGGACCCCAGCCCCTGATTTTGTCTTTCTCCACCTCCTCCTGATCTCTTCCCTCCTAAACATTTTGTCTCACACTGTCAGACTAATAAAAGCAGGAAGGAAACAACAGAAAATGGAAGCTTTTCTGTCTCATGGAATATGAAGTATACCCAACAAAACACCAAATAATGTTTTTGAAGAAGGGTCCAGACCCAAAACGTCAGCTTTCCTGGTCCTCTGATGCTGCCTGGCCCGCTGTGTTCATCCATCTCTACACCTTGTTACCTCACACTCCAGCATCGGCAGTTCCTACTATCTCTAAATAATGTTTTGTAGTGTTTTAACACTGTAGCATGTTAGATCTCAACAGTACCAAGCTGTGATGCTGTATTTCGGTTTCTGAAAACTTCTCTTAAAGCTTCTAGTATCAAAAGCAAGTAATCAGCAGCAGTCGTGAAGGTTTTAAGGTTTGTGTGCAAAAATCACAATTCAAGTTCAAATTATAAAATTGAATTCGATAATCACAGAATAGTTACAGCTATTCGGCTCATTGGCGGGTTTCTAAAGGAGCATACCCCTGCCTTCTCCCCATAACCCTGCACATTTTTCCTTTTCAGACAACAATATAATTTCCTTGTAAATGCCTCGATTGAACTTGGATCCACCAGAGTCTTGGACAGAGCATTCCAGATCTTAACCACTCGCTGTGTGAAAAGGGTTTCCGTCATGTCTCCATTTCTTATTTTCTGTGTGTCGTCTGGATTTCATTCCTTCTACCAATGGTAACCTGTCTTTTCTTCTGTCCAAATCCCTCATAATCTTGAATATTTCCATCACAAATCTCCTCTCAACCTTTGCTTCACAAAGGAAAACAATCCCAACTTCTCCTATTTATTTACATAATTGAAGTTCCTTATTGTTGACAATTTGTTAACCGCACTCTGAACTGATCTTGCCACCTTCAATGAAGTACATAAACAAGCTGATTCCTCTGATCTTCCCCCTCTTAAGAATTGTGCCCTTTAATTTTATAATTTTCTCTCTGCATTCTTTCTACCAATTTAGCAACAGAAATGACAACCACGAAAATATCACCAAATTGTCAAGAAAACACCAGATTCTCTAGCATTCTTCAGAAATGAAAAAACTATCGCCCCTACGGTGTGGGTTGTACTGTGACTCCAGGTCCTCATGCGTTCGACTCTCAATGCCCTTGGGATGGGGGGGGGGGGGGGAAAGAGTTAATAAACATCCAAAGGGCAATTTGCTTTTACAAAACAGGTCTGACTTCAAGACTTAAAATATGCAGCTAAACAACATTTGAATAAGTGGTGATAGTAAGAACTGCCGATGCTGGAGTCAGAGATAACACAGTGTAGAGCTGAAGGAACACAGCAGGTCAGGCAGCATCTGAGGAGCAGGAAAGCTGATGTTTCGGGGGTGGGGGGAGTGGTGGGGTGATGTAAAGGAGTGTGGGATAGTCTTTACAGGGTTGGTGCAGACTTGATAGGCCAAATGGCCTCTTTCTGCACTGTAGGGGTTCAATAAGGAGACCAAAACTGCACACTATTCTCCAGGTTTAGTCCACCAAACTCCTGCATAATTGCAGTAAGACCACCCTGTTCCTGTATTCAAATTCTTTTACTATGAAGGACAACATACCATTTACATTCTTCACAGCCTGCTGTAACTACAATCAGTGTGGGTGTATCTACACCAAAATGGACAGCAGCAGTTCAAGACACAGTTCACCATCACCTTCTCAGTGAAGAATTGGGATGAGCAATAAATACTGGTCTTGCCAGTGACACCCACATCCCATTAATGAATCAAAAGAAAAGTATTTTTACATGAACGAAGGAGATAATTATTTCAGTCAGATAAATAAGTGCAAAGCACTGCTTGAAAGGAAAGTGGAGAACGTACTAAATAGTATGAAGCTAGCAGTTAACCAGTAATATCAACCCAGAGCTGGCAAGATTTGAAGAGAGGCTGAAACACAAATGCACAGGATTATACTTCGTTATTATGCCCTTTTTTTTTTTTTAAAATCTGTCCCATAGCTGGTCCAAATACTAACACCTAACAGCATAGATTTCCACATGAAGAACATGCATTTGGATAAGATGAAGGGTAGAATCAATGGTCAGCAAAAGCCCATATAAAGAGAAAAATTACAAAACAAGAAGCTTGATTTCTCATCCTGAACTTTGGCTCTACCCTAGAATGCCTCATCCAAATGCACAATACAAATTTCAATCAGTAAACTTCATTGTATATTAATTAGGTATTTGAAATAAGAAATTTATTTCTGTCAACATATACTTTGTGGAAGAAGGATGTTATAGTGTAATGGTAATGTCCCTAGCTCAGGCTCAAATACCATTTGTCATGGAGTTGTGTCATAATATGGCTGAACAGGCAAATTACATTGTGGATTCATGATTTTATTTTTAATGCATTCACAGGATGCGAGTTTCATTGGCTAGGCAAGGATTCAATGCCCATCCCTAATTTCCCAGAGGGCAGTTGAGAGCCAAACACATTGCTATGTCTCTGGAGTCACATGTAGGACAGACCAGGTGAGGATGGCAGATTTCCTTCCCTGAAGGACACTAGTCAACCAGATTAGTTTTTCTGACAATTGACAATTGTTTCATGGTTATCAGTAGATTCTTAATTTCAGATTTTTTTCATGGAGTTCAAATTCCACCGTCTATCACATCAGGATTCAAACCCAGATTCTCAGAACATTAGCTGAGTTTCTGGATTAATAGTACAGCAATAATACCACTAGGCCATTGCCTCGCATTGAATATAGATTTATGACATGGCATTCTGGAGAGTATAGTTGCATTGCTGTATATAAACTAGGAACAGCTTGCTGGAGGCTGGAGATAATTTTAACTGTGATCCCTCAGGCATTTAGGAGCCTGAACAAAATGGAATAAAGTACATTGACCGATCAAACTTATTTACAGCTCAAGATACAATAACAAGAAGCATCTCACATTGTTGCAAGGGCTAGCCAATATAAATTGTTACTTTTCTTAAAGTTAAACACATACAAATCTAACTCTTCACATTGTTGCATCTTTGCCTGGGAGAAGAGGGTGATGTATTGGGAGGCTTCAAGACTGAATAGCTGACACATGACAATGTTAAGTGTGCCCTCAAAGCCCCTAAATATCCTTATTCCAGCTCAGAGCAGTGAACTCCATACAGCAGGAGGGCTTTATGAGGACGCCCACCAGATCACATGCACCCTGCTGGATGCCAGCCCAGAATTCAGACTTGCAGCTCCATTCACCAGGGCTCAAAACACTTTCAGACCAAAACAGTAGGCATGTTAAAGCACCACTGCAAAAGCTCACCAAGTAAATATCATGTTTAAAATTCATCATACATACACACAATGACCTAATTTTTATACCTCATCTCAAATAATTTAGTGAAAATACAAGAAGTGATTATTGGAAACCGGCAATCAACAAAATTTGACAAGTGTTGCAACAACATAAAGCACTGACACTAGAAGCTCCAATGGATGACTAGCCAGCTGAAAGATTGAAAATATCAGACTACACAAGGCTGCTGATGCCAATGCCCAAGAAAGATTCTTCACTGCTGCCAACTACCACTTGCACTGATAGCATCATTAACATAATAAACCATCCCAAGGCATTAACAGGAACTTCAATAAAATGTGATACCAAGACAAAAAAGGAGACATCAAGGACAACAAGGTGTAGAGCTGGACGAACACAGCAGGCCAAGCAGCATTATAGGAGCAGGAAGGCTGACGTTTCGGGCCTAGACCCTTAAAAAACTCAATTGCAAAGGGAGGTTGTAAGGAGCACCTTGAAGGAACACGGAAGGGAGGAGTGGTTTAGGGAACTGATAGCATGACCACCAATGCTGGAACTATGGAAGTCAGAAACGCACAAGTAGCCAGAATTAGGGGAGTGCAGACATAGGGGTTGGAGTGGGGTGACAGACAGGGAGGGTCATGGAAAGGGGGGTCCACAGACAGA